GATAATAGGGAAGATGGGGAAGACAACGAAGTCTATTTTGGACGTGTTGAGTTTGATATGCCTTTGGGACATCCTCTTTGAGAGGCATTTGGTGATGCTTGACTGGAGCTCAGTAGAGAGACTTGGGCTAGATATAGAGATTAGAGACTAGGGCTAGAGAGATTTGGGAATCATGTACATAGAGATGATAATTGCCTAGCTGTGGAGATAACTGAGATGGTATAGAGCACGAGAGAAAGGCTCAGCCTTTGGTGACCTCTGCAAGTAGAGGGCTTTACAGCAAAGTAGGCTGAGAAGATGTTGTCAAACAGATATGAGAACCAGGAGAGAGAGCAGTTTCAAGAAAACCCTGAAGGGTGAAAGTATTCTGGAAGAGAAGGTGATCCATAGTGTTAAATGAGAGAGGGAGGTCAAGATGGATGAAGCTTGAGAAAAGGCCATGATATCGGTCAATTAAGAGATCATTGATAGCTTTGGAGTGGGTAGTTTTCATTTTAATGGGGGTGGGGGGGTTCAGCCTAATTGTAGAGGGATTAGAAGAGAGTGAGAGGAGGAGAGGAGGACCAATAGTCCCCTAAAATGTGGCTGAAGCCTGGCACATTGGTGCCCCTTCCTCTCAGACCACCCTAAGTCTTGCTTCCCAGGAATTCTGTCCTCACACAGTTCTTATACTCCCCCTCTCCCTTACCTGAAAGTAGCTTGCTTTTCTGGGGGAGTTTGACCTAATTGTTTTTTTATTATCACTTCCAACTCTGAAATATTAGGATTCTTTCTGCCTTGCCAAATTTTCAAAGCTCTTTTTGATAAAAAGGAAAATTCTTGGAGAAAACTAATTGGCCTGTGGCTCCACCCAACAATATAAATCAGACCTGAATTCATATCATACCTCACTTACCAATTGTATAACCCTCGACAATTTGCTTAATCTCTTTGTGCCTCAGTTTCTTCATCTGCAAAATGGGGGAGAGATTAGATTCAAAAGACCTCTAAGGCTCCTTCCAGCTGTAAATCTACAAACCTATGAATTGTAGAGGGAATAAGTACAGTAGAAACTGGGGGGGGGGGGCGCAACCTACAGTGGTGGAGAAGGCTCCATGGAGGAAGGAGAATCTAAGCCTTGACCTTGATCTTACAAAATGACTGTGATTTTCATAGCAAAGGCTATGTCATGGTTGGAAAATAATTATCTGAACCCATGCGGAATTTCATGCACCGTGTTTGGCAACAGTAAGGGAATTATGAGAGGATAAGGGTTAGAAAGATAAGGCAGAATTTTCCTATGAACCTCATTCTGTGCATAATATCATCTAAAAAATGATGCTGCTATTTATTTCTAGTTTAAATAATATCTTTCTGGGAAGTGAGTTCCTTCTGGGGAAATCCTTCTGGGGAGGGGAGGTTGTGGAATTAAGGACTATTAGGATGATCATTATTATGATCACTGGCTTCATGAGGAAACTGCTGTCTTTGTGAGACCCTCAGAGCCCTTCCAGTCCCATGAATCATGTGGGTGCACAATAAATATTTCATGATTTTTAAAAAATATGTTGTGATGGTGGCTGCTAAAAGAGAAAAATGTCATCCTGAATCATTTTGTCTGGTTTTGCATCTAGTAGAATATCTGAAACAAAATAGATGATCTCAATTTTCCGAATGAATTAGGGGAAGGAAAGGAGAATAAACTATGTGCCAGGCACCATACGAAGTACTTTGTACAAATATCTCATTTGATCCTCATAACAATCCTGAGAGATAGATGCTTTTCTTCATTTTACAGTTGAGGAAATGCGTAGGCAGAGGTTAAATGACTTGCCCAGGGTCACACAGCTAATAAGTGTCTGAGACTGGATTTGAATTCAGGTCTTCCTGACTCCATACACAGTACTCTACTCACTGTGCCACCAGCTGCTTCCAGTTAAACTATGAATGACCTATCTTCCCTGATGTCAATCTCAGATGGATATTGGGATAGTGATTGAGTGCCCTATGTTTATTCTCCCAGAATGTTAGACCTGGGCAGGTATGAAGGATGTGGAGAGGGAAATGGGGCAGAGAGGGTTGATTCATAGCACTCTTATTCCAGGATTTGTTGAACAAATATATTCTTACCCTGTCAATCACGAATCTTAAGACTTTGATCTTACATCCCATTCCTTTGGAATAAGAAGAGCTAGGCTCAAATCTTACCTATCACTACCTGTGTGACCTTGGGCATATGCAGAAGGCATTTGTTAAGTACCTACTTATATGTTACGTGACAATCACTGGCCTTAGGTGCTAGAGAGACAAGAAGAAAATGAAACAATCCTTTCCCTAAAGAAATTTACATTCTTTTAGGGGAAATGTACACAGGTAAGCAAACATAAGGTGTGTTTTTTTTTTTTTTTCTTGTTAGAGTTGGCGCTAGCAGCTATAAGGATCATAGAAAAGATGGTATTGAGAGATGAACTTTGAAAAAATCCAGGGATTCTATGAGGCAGAAGTGAAGAAGGGAGTACATTCCAGGCATGGGGGACAGCCAGTATAAAGGCACAGAGATGGGAGATGAAATGTCGTGTTTGAAGAAAAGTAGTAAGACCAGTTAAGCTCAGCTGGAGAATGTGAGAAGGGGAATTTGTATAGGCTGAAAAGGTGGGTTGGGGTCAGCTTTGTAGATTTACAGAATACTTTTATTGCCAAATAGGAGTTTCTTTTTGGTTCTAGAGGACATAAGGAGCCACTACAGTTTATTGAGCAGGGGAGTGACATGGTCAGACTTGTGCTTTAGTAAAACCACTTGGACAGGTACGTAGAACATGAATTGGAGAGGAAAGAGATTTGAAGCAGGAAAGTCAATAAACAACCACAATTTAAAGGTCCATTATCCTTTACAAATTTAGGCACCCTGTAATGTGAAATAGCTTATATACTTGTACCCAAATCCTTACTCAGTGCTAAGTTGTATGTTTTTTTATTTCTCAAAGGGGTATGGGAAGACAGGCATACTAATGCACTTAAAAGCTTTTTTTTTTTGTCTTTTGACATGTTTTATTGATATATTTTGATTTTATATCGCTTACATTTCCCAATGTATCTCTTGTCCTCCCCCTCTCAGAGCCATCTCTTATAACAAAGAATAAAGAAGGGGGGGGAATGGAATGGGTTCAGCAAAATTAGCCAACAGAAAAAAAAAGTCTGATTTTATATACATTATTCCACTCCCATAGCACTCCACCACTACAAAAAAGAAGGGAGGGTGGTGGTTAGGGAGAGGTTCTTTGAGTCCATGCTTGGTCATCATTAGAATTTTATATTTTTCTTTTTGGATTGTTTTGTTGTCCTTGATATTTCCATTTCATTATCGTAGTCATTCTGTATGCTATTTTCCTGGTTCTGCTCATTTCACTTTTCATTAGTTTGTATAAAGTCCTCCTGTGTTTCTCTCTATCTATCATATTGATCATGCTGTACAACATGGTAAATTTCCATTACATTTGTACTTTGTTTAGCCATTCTTTAATTGATAAACTTCTCTAGGAGCCGATTCTTAATAAATATTTATGATTTTCATTGGGTTCCTTGGAGGACAAGACTGGCTTAGGTTTATGCTTCTTTCCATTCCCACCCAGCTTTTTTTAGGAGTATGTGAGGTTATGAACATCCTGTAAGCCCCCGGTATTTCTCTCCTAATCTAGGAACTATGATAAAGGGAAAATGGTGGTCCAACAGCCCATATTGGCTGTTTAGAAATATGGGTACATGCAACCAAGATTAGGAGGGAAGCAGAAAACTGGGAAAGAATTTTTACAACCAGTGTCTCTGATAAGGGCCTCATTTTAAAAATATATAGAGAACTAAGTCAAATTTATAAGAATGTAAGTCATTCCCCAATTGATAAATGGTCAAAGGATATGAACAGGCAGTTTTCAGATAAGAAATTAAAGCTATCTATAGTCATATGAAAAAATGCAATCAAAACAACTCTGAGGTACCACATCACACCTATCAGATTGGCCAACATGACAAAATAGGAAAATGATAAATGTTGGAGAAGATGTAGGAAAGTTGGAATACTAATGCGTTGTTGGTGGAGTTGTGAACTGATCCAAACATTTTGGAGAGCAATTTGGAACTATGCCCAAAGGGCTATAAAAATGTGCATACCCTTTGACCCAGCAATAGCACTTCCAGGGCTATATCCCAGAGAGATCATACAAATGGGAAAAGGACACACATGCGCAAAAAATATTTATAGCAGCTCTTTCTGTGGTGGCAAAGAATTGGAAATTGAGGGGATGCCCATCAATTGGGGAATGACTGAACAAGTTGTGGTACATGAATGTTATGGAGTACTATTGTGCTATAAGAAATGATGAGTAGGCAGGCTTCAGAAAAACCTGGAAAGACTTGTATGGACTGATGCTGAGTGAAGTGAGCAGAACCAGGAGAATGTTGTACATAGTTAACAACCACTTTGTCTGATGACTAACTTTGATAGACTTAGCTCTTCTCAGCAATACAAAGATCTAAGACATCTCCAAAAGTCTCATGATGGAAAATGTCAGATTGAGGCATACTATTTTCTCTTTTTTTTTCCTTCTGTTTTGTTTTATTTCTTCTTTCTTATGGTTCCTCCTATTGGTTCTAATTCTTTTTTACAATATGACTAATGTGAAAATACGTTTAATAGGAATGTATATGTAGAGTCGATATCAGATTGCACACCATCTTAGGGAGGGAGGAGGAGAAAATTTAAATCTCAAAAGCTTATGGAAGTGTTTGTTGAAAACTAAAAATAAATTAATTTTTTTAAAAAAAGAAATATGGGTATAAACTGGATTTTCAGATTCTCTCTGCATTTCCTCCTCTGTTCTCTCTGCCCCTTGGATACTTTAGAGTGGATCTCTCAAGGCATTGGTCTTAGGAGACAGAATCCTCTTCCTGCAAATGATGGTTGAGAGGGGAAAAGGGTAAATGATGGAGAAGTGACCCTTTTTTTCTTTCTCTTCTACCCATACCAGGCTCCTTCCCCCACCCGGTGAGCAGCATGCAAACAGCATGACGGGCCATAGGAGAAGTGACCAGAGCCAAACCCTTTACTCAGCCAACTGCTGCCAAGGTCACGGTGAGGTTCAGTTTCTCTTCTGGGCAGATTGACTAATTTTCATTTTTAAAAAGTTAAATAAAAAAAATTATGTAAACTCTCATTGTCTCATGTTATGGGCTGGAAGAATATGTCTTACTTGACCTAGTAGTTACAATTCAGACATATAATTCAGTGTGGTTAATTTTGTACATTTCCAGCCTCACTAAGGCAATATGGCATCATGGTTTGAGTATTGGACTAGGAGTCAGGAGCCTTGGGTTCTATTTTGTGGCCATGTGACCTTGGGTATTTTCTTTTCTTTTCTTCTCCTCTAAAATGAAGGGATTCCTTTCGAGGTCTAACATTACATGAATCATCAGGATTAATGGAGGGGAGAGGCAAGCATGGACAATGGCAGACTAGGAAAGAATTTAAGAATCCTTCCTTTTTGGTTTTGTGATATAGATTCAGAGGCACACAGATACTTGTCCCCTTGTCAGTCTCCTAATCAGAGCTTTTTAGGAGAAAAGGTTCTTGGTTTCTCTTGGTAACCACTGAAAGTTAATCACAAATTGATTATTTGTGGGATCACAAGTCTATTTTTTTCCTATTACAGGTAAAGACAATTTTTAATATTCATTTAAAAATTTTTTTTGAGTTCCCAGTTTTCTCCCTCCCTTCTTCACCCCCTCCCTCCCTGAAACAGTAAACAGTTTGATGTAGGTTATGTATGTGCAATCATGCAAAACGTATTTCTGTATTAGTCGTCTTGATCACTCTAAGTCTTAAGCATTTACTAAATACCTATCTTATGTTAAACCTTAAACAGCCATGTTGGAAATAGTCCTTAACTGTTAGATTTTCTTTATAGGTATGCTCCCTTTTTAGTCATTCCCTCCTACTACCCCATTTCTACTCCATTTCTCTACCTCCCTACCCCCTTCAGTTTGGGAGTGGGATATAAATCTGTGGTACTTATTACTGTATAATATAATAATTTCCAAAAGATTCTCTGCTCCACTTATTTTATATTCTTGTATAGGCAGTCTTTCTGCAAGCTAAGAGACTAGCTCCTGCTAACCCTTGTCAGAGGTTTATTATAGGAAAGGGTATTATAATTGAGAGGCCTCTTGGTGTGGCGGATAGAAAACTGACGATTTCACTTCATGTCCTTCCTCTGACCCATGTCGCCTTTTGTGACCATGAGAGTCACTTAACCTTTCAATAGTCTCAGGACTACTGGCCATAAATCACAGAGAAGATAGGGGTCTACTTTGGTAGAAATTCCTTCCCAGGTATTCCCTAACACCTGTGAAATTGCAGGTCTGGTAAAAAAATAATAATAATAATAATGGCAAGCCTTCCAGATGCCTTAGTGTAGCATGTAAGTGACCCTGAGTTCTTAAAGGCCAATGTAGCATCACACATACACTGAAGGTCCTATCCATCTGGAAATGCTTCATTCAGGTCTGTCATTCAAGATCTAAAGCAAAGAGGCACTTCACCAAAGGACTGCAACACTAAATGATGAATTTGGCGGGGGGGGAGCACGGAGGATGCTATACTATCTCACAAAACTGTCTGCTGAGGTATGATGTGGTTACCTGCCCACACTACTGAAATTATGGATTTTTGCATTGTTCAAAGGGGAAAGAAATAATGGAAGACCCATGGGAGAGGCTGAGTCAGCATCAGAGAGGCTTCATTTTGAAGATGGGGCAGAAACCAAAGGTTTGTTAGCTCAAGGCAAAAAGCAGTTGATGGTTAACTATAGGGCTTTGCTCAACATTTTTGGTTACCATTAGCATCTGGTCTCCTAGAAATGCCTATGGTCACGATGGTAGTTTTCCCTTCAAATTTTGTTCTTCAGAACTAGCATAACTGGGGAGAGGGGCTGGGAATAGGCCTGGATAGGGCAAGTTCCAGTTCTGAAATGTGTCACATAAAGTAATTTAAGGGAAGGAGAAAAGGAAAAGGAAAGAGTCAACAAGGAAGCTTTCAGCCCTGATCTTCCATGTATTCAGGGGCCAGAGTGCCACTGAAGGAATCTCTCACTCCACCTCTCAAATGAGATAACAACTGCTGGGTTTGCCATGTGAGTCTGCTTTTCAGGGACTGGAGTAATTTCCCAAGTAGCGGATGATCTTGTCAGAAAGCTGTAAAAAGCCAGACAGCATTGGAGAATTTGTTTATGAGTCTAGTATTTATCTATCTCTAGAGAGGACATGGTTTCTGCAGTTTGGGGAGGATCTTATTTCTTCATTTTTCTCTAGCATTTTTCCAACTTTTATCATGATTCTACAAAGGAATCCTGGACCCAGTAACTAGTCGATTCATCATATTAGGTTATCCAAAAACCTTGGCCTCTTTCTCCTGCTCCTTGTCCCCTTCATTCCTTCCCTCCTCCTCTACTTCTTCCTCCTCCTCCCTCTCCTCCTTCTCTCCCTCCTTTTCCTCCTCCCCCTCATCCTCCTCTTTCTCTTTCTCTTCCTCATGACACTGCTTTCTGATGCTTTACTTCTTTCCTGCTGCTCTTTTCCAGATTTCTTGGTTCATAAGCCCCTCCATTGGAGGCAGGGAATGGAGGCTTTACACTATAAAGTACTCTGCAGATGTCAGATGGCTATTTAGGATTATCCTCATTGTTATTATTGAATGCCTGCTATAAAGCATGATGGTAGGTGATAGGAGGAGTACAGAACATGATGCAGGCCTTCCCTTTGCACCATGATATGTTGAACATGCCACATGTTCTTGGAACTGTAGGCACAGAGTTCTATTTCTTGGGCATTTCTCTGGTAGCAAATTTTAGGCTCTATAAAAGGGAGGTTCAGGGGACAATGGGTAAGCCCTTCATGCTATAGGGGAGAGTTGATGTATCAGGAGATAAGCATGAAGAGAAAGATGGGGCTAGACTGGAAAGACAAAGCTTTGAATGCTGGGCTGAGCAGGTGTTGTTTTGTGCTGTGGGTAATAGGGAATCATTGATGGTTTTTGAACAAAGGAATGACTTATGTAGTGGTCTGCTTTAGGGTTATTCATTTGCATAGCAGAGTTGAAGATAAACTGGATAGTGTGGAGATAATTGTGGTTCAGGGACACCTTGGAAGGCTGTCCTCTTGTTTGCCTTTTTTTGCCATAGCATCCTCCAGAGGAACACTGAGTCTCAATCAATGAATTGCTTTGCCTTCTCTGACTAACCAGTCCATCTCTATTAGTCATGCACATTCTAGAAGTGCTTTTATCTAGACTGTAGAGAAACTCCCTGCCTGTAAACCAACCCCAACAATTCCTCTTGACTTAGTTTTCCCTTTTGGAAGATTGGCTCTGCTGATTTCATCTTCCTTGTAATCAGAGAACTCTCTTTATAACATGGCTTTAGAGCTGATGGATCCTGGACCTCAGGTACCTCCTTGCTGGTGATCTTGAGCCATACCCTATATCAGGAAGAAGCCTGGTGAATTTGCATATTTTACAACAGACAGCAGCATGTTCTTTGTTCAGATTGATGACTTGTTCTGTCTCTTCAAAAGTCCCATTTTAAACCTTAGCTAACTTGAGAAGGCCTAAGGTTTAGAGCCAGAAAGGGCCCTGATGAACATCTTATTTTTCACCTGTGGCATAGAGAAGGGAAATGAGGACAATACTTTACATTCTTTTCCTTATTTAAAATTATTTCATTATTGATATATTTTGACACGATCCATGTGACACGGATTTCCAAGAAGTGGAGATGATGATAGGGACCCTCATTTTGATAAAGATGGAATTGGAGTAGGGAGGTTGTTTTTTCTTTTCCTGTTCCCACATGTATGTTGCCCACTGTACCCCAGAGTGGGTAAGTAGGATTGCTAGAGGATTCTCGTGATGTGTCTTGAGTTCTTATTTAGTCCAACTTAAGTTAGTAGCTTCTTGTATTGCTGGTGGTTTCACTCCTGGGTCCCTCCGCTGTGCTGATTATTCCAGGATTTTCCCAAGACCGACACATCTGTTTTGACCCTTCAACCTGTCATTGCTCACGAATGGCTCACGTGTTAGAATAAGTATTCTGAGTCAATCAGTACCTGAGACAGAGCCCTTGCTGAATGTAGAGCCCTGCATTAGGTGGTAAAGTAAGTGTAGATAAGGGAGGATCTCTCATTTTGATGAGGGAATTCAGTTTCATTTATAAAGCACCAACAGTGTGCCAGGCACTGTGCTACATGACCAGTCAAAGTCTGTGCCAGGCACT